TCCATCATCCATTCCATTAGGATCATCCAGACACTTTAGGCCCCTTCCAATAATGTTCATAAAGAACAAACTTTGAAATGCACCACCCTTTTAGATGTTTGTGAAACGATGTTAATACTCATTCCGCCAGCATTGATTCCTCTCACTCCTTTTCTGAGTGCTATAAATAATCAAGCAAGTTCCTTCTGCTTTTCCCATCTAATCTTATATCAGCAGATGAGCAATTCTGCAGCTTTTTAGTGTAAGAGGCAAGTGGAACCGCATCCTTCCGCTATCGGCCGCGGCTTCAGCGCAGTTCGGGCTGTCACTGGTTTTCGGTCCCCGGTTGGGCAGGAGGTAGGTAGTGCTGGGTTCGTCCTAACCAAATAGCAAAAGTTATAGTCACTTCTTCCGGAAGCCCTGATGGTATCAACTTTTGCAAACACTAATGAAATGTAGGAGCTGAAAAATTCCTACAGACTTAATGCGTGCAGAGCAGACTAAGGCGGATAGAAAAGTGGACTTCGCATCAACTCACAGAAAACAGTACTTGTTCCCTTCACTAGGAAATATAGACTTACAAAGTTTTCAACATCAATGCTCTCAGGAACGGTGCTCTGCATTGCTGAGTCTGCAAAATATCTGGGACTCATCTTGAAAAGGAAATTCGAGGTAAGGCGCCCATTTCCCTCTATACCTGCAAAAGTGCGATGGGCCGGAAATTTGAGCAAAATAGTTTGTTAGCTTTATGTTGCAGGTATTAGCTATTAGCGGTCATGTGTATTAGCGAAGCACTGCGCATAACACCAACTGAGGCAATGAATATCCGCTCAGATCCACTCCCAATTGCTCCGTGGTAAGACTACAAAAAGTGTTTGAACAAGAAAAAACGGATTACTGCATATCATTCATTGATTTCATCACTGATCACAAGGAAGTTATCCCGATAAGAAACCAGTGGGACAGGGTGAGACTAGCAAGCACCGACTCGATTCATTTTTGTATGGATGGATCGAAACTGGATAATAGGGTCGGTGGCGGAGTTTACTCAAGGATTTGCAAATGCGTTTGTTTACTGGATTAATGTAGTAATGTAGTGTTTTTGTATTGAAATAGGTGAATATACATGGGGCTGTCGGAGCTTGGTGCTCTCAGAAAAACGTATTCACATCTTTTCGGATAGCCAGGTACTTCTCTCTGAGCCTAGTTTGGGTCCCGGGTCATAGTAACATACCGCGAAATGAGATGGCGAACGAACTTGCAAGAAATGGTATTCCTTTCCTCTTTTGCCATCATGGAAGAGTTTGGGCATTCCGCTCTCCACTTGTAAGCTCAATATATTAGAGTTATTCATTAAATATGCAAACGGAAGATGGAGAAGTCTCAATGCGGGTTGACCAGGATAATATGGCTAGAATGGAAAAGAAAAAGGTCATGTCACCTAAAAGGTGCTAAAAGGAAAGGAGACATCTACAGGTATCAGTCTTTTTACAAGGCAAATTCTATTGTGCAGGCATTCAGAGAGGTTGGGTGTCCTGACTAATGATTTCTGCAGGAAATGCATACAAGAAGTGGGACTTGAAGCCATAAGGCACCTCCTTTGCGAATATGCCGCACTTTAGAAGGGTATGTTGAATCCCCTAAGGGCGATAAGTCATTAGGATCCTCATTGGCATCACAATAGTCCCTTTGGTGGCCTAAATGAACTGATGCCCGGCAACGACTTCAACCAACTAACCTACCAAAACCAAAGGCAAATTTTTAAGCTCTCGATATATTGCAATATTTTCTAGGCAGATATGATTTTTTTTGTAAAGAAACCAACTAAACTAGCTAAGACCGAAAGAAACTGTATCGAAAACATCAAACTATACGTTGATAGCTGGAATATCATCAGAGCCAGGGTAGCAGTAGATAAGGTGGCTACAGAAAATCATCTACATATTTATTGGGTTAGACTCTACAAATTCATTGTTAATTAGATTATCATCCATTTGGCAACAGAAGCAGTACATGAAATACAAAAATCATTAGAGATTTTACACAATAAAATTTTCACTGTAGTTGGAAGCCGGAATATGGTGAGATCTCTACGATTTCGAAAGGAACAGAAACAAGACAGTATTCTTGTGGCGAAATTCGCTCTACTCTTGAACAAGTGGGTCTTGAACCGATTCAGGGAATGCTGAGAGGTACTTTCACGGAGACGACATCTCTGGATCAAGGTTGAGGTACACCTTGTCAGGGAACTTTCACAGCGGCTGAGAATTATGAATAAATATTGCCCAACCACACTCTTGCGTCTAAATTTTGTTTTGGTTCGAGTAAGAAATTATTACCTAAGAATTCCCACACTAAGTACTCGCAGTGAGGGAGGAAAATGCTTTTAAAGATAACTGGTTATTCTAGACAATATGACCGTTGTTACTTACCACTGTTGAGTTCGTCATTGGGTCAATTGCAGATGGGGAGGTGAAATCATACGCAATTCAAACAGACAGGTTTGATCATTCGTTATAGAGAAAAGAATTAAGTCTAAACTGGACCATATCATAACGACCGGCATAATGATCAAACACTATTTGATCAGACCTCATGGCGAAAGGACTTCTGACGCAGCTATAGAGCCATAGACGAGGTTTTTACTTCGCAGCAAAAGTCAACAAGGTCGTGGTTTTCATAAAACGCACCTGTCCGTGGTATTTCATCGGAATGCTAGCGTTTGTGGAACAATCAGCAGCAGAGCTAAAGGACTTGATTCTAACATAGCTTGTCTTAATCTTCCCCTTCTTAAGGTTGCAATAAGAGAATTTCCTATACATTTAGTTCCATTATTTAGATAGCAAATAAACAAAATTCATTTCTTGAGGTTGGAATATTGAAATTTATGAACTTTAGGATAAGCTTGGCCTTACAGCTTTTTTTTTTTTGGGTTCATATGGGAAGCTTGGTCGATATGAGGCCACATATTCTTCTTAGAGAATATGCGGGTTGTTGAAAAACAAAAAAAAAAAAACAAACAAGCTGCTCACCTTGAAGTACAAAAAATTATGCTTTTGCATGATCTTCAGGAGTACAGTATAACGCAGAATACCGTTGTTGTATTGTTGAAAAGCGTGAGGCGCTCAATGGATGAAAGATATGGCACAAAACGGAGCGCTAACGTAAAGCGAAGAAATTTAAGAATTGTGCATCCAGAAACTCTGCTGGACAGGTAAAGAAGTTTCCTGCGAGTTATACGACGCTAATACAGCTATAATTGATCATCTTGGGGAGCTTATAATAATGAAAAGTTTCCATACAAAATTTACCGTTGCTGCATTCTGTGATCTAAAAATGTTACCGTGAATTCCTTACAATTTCTTTTACCACGAATCCGACTTAGCTCAATTCAACTGATTTTCTTTCTTTTCTAATGTGAAATATATTTCGCTGAGCACTTTAACACTCACCGGAATTAATGGCAATCAGAAGAGGAGAGATCAGCGCTGTAAGGCGAGTGCGACTAAACTTCCAAACCGCTCTTCTACAAATACTTTTTAACCGGTAATGTAACATGAGGCCGAGCGCTGTCATGATGGAAAACTCTTGCCTCGTGTCTGTACACGCTCGTCTCAATTTGACGAGTTGTTGTCGAAAGCGGTCCCCAACAAGGGTTTTAACCGGCCTTAGAAGCTCATAACACAACATGCCCTTCTGATCCCACCAAATACAGAGGTTATATCGGATACCTTTCATTTGGCTGGCTTGCGAGGCTGCGTATGTTTGTATATGCCTTTTGTACTTATGGTTGTCATGTTGTATCCATTTTTCATCATCTCAAAAAGCGACTTCTTCTTATAGCGTTCAAGCAGCATTTTTGATATGCAAAGTTGTCCTTCAACGTCTCTTGGCTCAATTCAAATGAAGCGGAATTTCTTTGCTTTTGAACAAGGCAAATTCGCTTTGGCTTTTGAATGTAGGTGGTTGCTTTTAAACGTTTTTCGTCTTCTAAGCCAAAATCATCACTTTCCCATTGTGCTAACCACTTTTAACGCGTTCGCTCAGCTTCCACCAAAACACTAGGACTTTCGGCATCAGTTTTCTTCAAATCAAAGTAAGGAAAAAAATATTGTTTCCTACCCTTCATACGAATGACATACTCGCACATATTTTGGCAAGGACGCACAATGACATGGCAATCTTGTTACGCCATCTCTCGGCAAACCGCAGAAATAAGCATATACGAGGTGTGTTCAAAAAGTATCGCGAATTTTGAATTTTCGCGGGTTACGTATAATCGAACTTCCATTTTTTTTTGTGGCGTTATGTAGGTACTCATGTCTGTCACTTATGCCGACAAGCTCGGCCATTTTGAATGTTCAATTAAATGTTGATAGCTGCTTTGCTTGCTCGTGTTTTGGATGGTCTTCGATTTTTAATTTTTAATGAAAGTTTTCTTCAATTGCAGGGGCGTAAAGCATCATGAGTTCTTGCCACAGGGTAGAGCGGTCAATAAGGAATATTACCTGCAAGTTATGCGCAATTTGCGCGTAGCAATCCGCCAGAAACGCCCGGATTTGTGGAAGAACAAAAATTGGCTTTTGCATCACGATAACGCCACTGCTCACACATCGTTGCTTGTGCGCGACTTTTTGGCCAAAAACAACACACTAATGATGCCGCAGCCACTGTATTCCCCAGATCTGGCCCCCTGTGACTTTTTCTTGTTCCCTAAACTGAAGAGGCACATTAAAGGACGACGTTACGCTGCCATTGACGAGATAAAGACGGCACCGAAGGAGGAGCTGAACAAGATGAAAAAATGATTTTTTGAAGTGCTTCGAAGATTGGAAAAACCGTTGGCCCAAGTGGATAATATCTCAAGGGGATTACTTCGAAGGGGACAAAATAGATATTCATGAATAAATAAATAATTTTTGAAAAAACACAAATTTCGCGATATATTTTGAACACACCTCGTACATGAATATCAAATATATTCATTATTTTTTTATTTTCAAGCATACAAATGTTTTATTATTCTCATATTTTATTATATATTTCAATTAAATTGGAGTGAAACTTTAGGTACTGCTAAACAGGAGTATTCACCAACTTTAGGTAGATAAGCCTTTTGCAGCCACTGATCAGATTTCTCGTCATAAACATGAGTGCAAATTTTTGGTCTGTGGAGATCGCCGCCAATAGCCCATAACTGATTGTTTATGGAAACACAAGAAACGCAACTAGTCTCGATGGGGAGAGCACAGATCTGTAAATAATTTTATATAAAAAAAAAATAAAAACAGTATTAAAAATTTGAGAAATTTCTGAAAAGTTTTAACTAACATTTGTCCATTCATCTTTTTGTGGGTCGTATCGCTAGGCTGATTTCGTTCCCACAACGAATATAAATCCTTTGTGCACGGCTGCCTGGAATTTAATATTATATTATAAAATACATATGTATGTATCTAGCAATATAATAAATGGGAGAAAAACTCTTTAGGCCTTCCTAAGTCGCTCTCGAAGCACATGTGACTTCTCTAAAATCAATGTTGTCGTTCGGTTTAAATTGAAGAAAATTACTCATTAGCTTTTTTAATTAAATGACGCGTGCTGTACACAACTGTGGTATAACGATCAGAATCGTACGAGTACGTATGTATATAGTTTATACATACATTAAGATCAGAAAGTTTCTGGAAATTGTCGTTTAAGCTACCCGCTCTAAAGATTTTTCAACACTTTATTTTTGTTAAGTTGGTAACACTGCTCTTTATTACTATGCCAAAATGAATCCGATGTGTTTATTGCAGCAGCTGTTGAAATCATTGGGTCTTTGTTTCCTCTGCGAATTTACTTTAGGTTCCACAGAATGGTAACTTGAGTTTTGGAGGCAAAAAAAAAAGTCGCACGGAGCAAATCCGTTGAAAACGGTGGTTGATCGATGGTAGTGGATGAATTTTCGGTTAGTTCGTTCACAACTACAGCTCGATGCGATTACCCATTATCGTCATGATAATTTTCGGAAATTGTTGGCCCACAATTCCGACCGTTTACGTCGGATGTTTTCGAGCAAACGCTTTAATGCGCTCGAATAATACTCTTTATTGACTGTCTGTCCCATTGGAACGAATTCATGATGAACCGAGCTAAACCAAAAACAATTTCCGGAAACTTTCTGGTTTTAATATATGTACGCATATGTTTTTATAAAAAAATAAAAATAAAAATAAAAATAAAAATAAATATAAAGGATTGGTCACAAAACATTTGCATGTTGCAAAATCAAAAATACATTTTTCCCTTTAAATTGTCTTTCATCAACATCATTGCTATTTTTCTTAAGTTCGATTTGAAAGAAATTCCGACCTGCATTTCAGTAGGGTATTTAGCACGTGAAATATTCCAAATGATACTGAGATCAAGTATAGTCTTCAGTTAGTTAACTGCCGATGGACTCATTCACTCATTTCCATCTATGAAACTTAATAAGAGTTGTGGTCTCTGGTGCACATATGTGTAATGCTTAATACAATTGATTTTTTTATTAATAAACTCAAAGTTTTTGACTAGAAGTTTACTTACGCCATGGCTGGTATATTCATTATTCATATTTGCACACAAAGTCCAGACATTTGAGGTTGGATCATATCGTTCAACAGAATTCAAAACATTAGTAGCATTCTGCCCTCCCATAACGAAAATATTTCCATTTAAAGTTACTGCGGCTGCCAGGGCACGGCTTACATTCATTGCTTTTACCGAATGCCATTCACCTGTGAAAGAAAACCTGAAAGGAAACAAAGTGTATATACATATATAATTCAGTGGGCCCGATCAGCTTTTAAAATACACTTATGTAATATATTTTTCTCAAACTGCTTACTCACAATGAGATATAAAGAAAAATTTAGTCAAAAGTGTCCATACATATGTACATATGTACTTTCGTGCTTACAATTGTTAAGCTTTGTTTAAAAAATGTAACTTAGCGTAAGAGTAAATATTATCTGTCGAGGCTAAACAAAATGCTTACTTTTAACTCTTATTGCTTAAGGAAAACTCTTCGCGTAAATATTATTCGATGAGCAAATAAATAACTGTTATCAAGTAATTCTTACTTGTAAGCCATAAAACAAAATCAAAATTTAACGATTATTTTGCGAAGAATAAATATAAATCAAATTTTAAAAGCTTTTGACATATTTGTATAGTCCTCAAAAAACAAACAAAAATTTTTTTCTACATCATATACATACATACATATATATATACGACCCTTAATAATGATTTTTTTACTCTAAAATTATGCAATAACGGTTATTTTCTGTCCCTGATACTTACACATCCACCGTATTCATAGCTGATGATATATTCCATCCACCAATTACGTAAATTATGTCGTCTAAAAGCACAACACTATGCGCTATTCGTGGGCAATTCATTCTTGGCAGTTGTGTCCATGTTTTAGTTCGCAGATTCCAACTTTTAACTTCAGCTGTTCTTTCTTCGTTACTTTTCCCACCGATGAAAATTAGATTTTCACCATTTGGAATAACTTTGACTTCATTTGGATAGTTTATATCAGCGTATTTCAACCACTTATCTTCAATTTGATTGTACTGCAAAATACATTTGTTGTTATCCTGTTAAGAATTTAGAAATAAGAATTATTAATAATGTGATATATCACATAAAAACAAAATACATACACACCGAACATACAATCAGTTTGGGTGAAAACCGATTTCAATTAATAATAAATAGTGTTAATACATTAATAGATTTGTTCTTTCTGGCTGCAAGGAAATTACACAAAACCAATTTACGCCAGGATTTCTCTTTAGTACAAAAATATACCCAGACCTTCTCTCACCGTGAAAAAAGTTTTCGTTAAGTATAATTTAAGCACAAATTTTGTAGAGAGTCTACATGTCTTGCGTTATACTACTGCTGGATTATACCATACGGATAGTTTGAGCCATGAAAATTTGTATAATAAAAAATTTTTTTTAGAAAAATTAAAAGTCACCTCCGGGAAAGCGGCGAGTTTCAATTATTGCATTAATCAAAAGGAATCTCTACAGTGATATTTTAGTTTAATATTTGACACTTACAGTTCGATATGTTTCCAACGCCAAATAAGCTGTATCTTCCAGATTTCTACGTATAGATTCTCGCGGTGCCGTGAATTTGAACGTTATCTTTGTGCGTGTCAAGGGCTGACTGATCCATAGTAAGGCATGAAAAGCCAGCAACTCACATCCTGGCAACGGCTGAATATTCGCCATTATGAAACTTGCATCGAATTGCAAGAGTCGCAAGCAACCGACGAGGTCAGGCAAATGACATTCACGGCCCTTAGTATCATGTTCGTACCAACTTTTTAGCGCAGCAAAGATATCTTTCTCACACGACACATTCAAGACTTCGCTCTCCAAGATTCCTTTCAATTTTTCACTGCCAAATTTCAAGAATTCAGCACTGCCATTTAACTAGGAGAAAAAACGAATAATGAATGAGTGGAAGGAAAAGGTAATAGTTTAACATTTGTATGTATTGTATATATGTACATATGTATGTAGGATTATATACGCCGTTGTTTTTTAACCAAGGTGTCTGAAAGTCAAAGTAGTTATCTTGCTCATATACACACACTTATATACATAAAATAATTAATAATTCATAAATATATATGCACATATACGCATACCATATGTGTATACAGTAAGTTGATCTCACATGATATTTCGTAATATTGGATGAGTGCATAAGTTCGTGCTCGATTCCGCTGGATGCCGTTCGAATCGTTTGAGAGTGGCGCTCGTGAAAGAAATATATACATATTATATATCGTTGGAAAGATGACAGTCCGAACTGTAAATCAAGCATAAAATAACTTCATTTTGATTTGATTTGCTTAGTGAAAAGACGCATGGAAGATGGACAACGAAAAAGATCATATGCGTCATATTATGTTATACGAATTCCGCAAAGGAAAAACAGTAGGCGCTGCAACTAAAGATATTCGCGAAGTTTATTTGGACCGTGCTCCAGCACTCCGCACAGTAAAGAAATGGTTCGCGAAATTTCGTTCTGGATATTTTAACCTCGAAGATCAACCTCGCAGTGGACGGCATTCTGAGCTTGATGACGATGATCTAAGGACTTTAGTTCCCAATAACTCACGTATTTCGACGGAAGAGGTCGCCAGTGAATTGAACGTCAACAAATCAACTGCGTTTCGTCGTTTAAAAAAGGTTGGGTACACTTTGAAGCTCGATACATGGGTGCCACATCAGTTGAGTGAAAAAAACAAAGTGGACCGTATGTCAACAGCAATTTCTTTGCTTCGACGGATCAAAATCGAACATTTTTTGTATCGGCTCGTGACTGGTGATGAAAAATGGATCCTGTACAACAATGTTGAACGCAAAAGAACATGGAAACAGGCACACGAAGGGGCGGAACTGATGTCGAAAGGAGGATTGCATCCGATGAAGGTACTGCTGTGCATTTGGTGGGATATCCGAGCCGTGATCTATTTTGAGCTCTTGCCAGCTGGAGAAACGATCACTGCCAACAAGTATTGTCAGCAATTGGTCGAATTGAAGAAAGCAATTGATGAAAAACGTCCGATTTTGGCCAATCGCAAAGGAGTTCTTTTCCATCATGACAACGCCAGGCCACATGTTGCAAGACCGACCCTGGCCAAACTGTAGGAGATAAATTGGGAAATCATGCCGCATCCCCCATATTCACCCGACATTGCACCTTCTGATTATCATTTGTTTCGATCGCTGCAGAACAATTTGAATGGAAAAAAATTTAAAAATGTGGAAGACGTCAAAAACCGCCTTGACACCTTTTTCAACGAGAAACCGCGCGATTTCTATGAATCAGGCATCGGTAAATTGGTAAATTGCCGAACATGATGGCGAATACATAATTGATTAATAAAAGCGCTTTCTTCAAAAAATTTCAATTTTAGTTTGCACTTGAAATAGGGCACGAACTTATGCACTCATCGAATATAATCAGCCCTATTCTAAATGAGAATTCCCCGGAAAAATTCTTCACTTTTCCAATCTTCTCCTATCATAAATAAAAAATATTGCGGATTTGTTATCTTTTCCCTTTCCCCGTGTTCTAAACTTATAACTTTTGAAAAATCTACTCATTTACATTACCATATAACGGTAACAAAAGCCAACATTAACCGGGCTTGGTTTGGGAAGAAATTTTGATTTTTAATAATTCATTCTGTATTGTAGGCAGTAGCAACATTGACTTTGGTTTTGACTTTTACATTAGGTCAAGTAAGAAGTTCGTTCGGTTTTTATCCAAGAGATGGCGTTATTGTCCATAGTACTAGTGTTACGTGTCGCATCATCTCACACTATACGGCATTGAAAACGTGTTTACTCGCACTAAAAGTTTGTCTTTGACAGTTTTTGATTGATTGATTCAGTACGTTGTGAGCGCTCATCAAAGATGGACACCAGCAAAGAGAAAATTCGCTATATTTTACAATTTTTCTTAAATCAAGGCGTAAAAGCAGCCAAAGCGGCTGAAAGAATTAATTTAGTTCATGGGCCCGATACTGTAAACGAATGTGTAGCACAGAAGGGGTTTTCTAAGTTCCGTTCCGTAATTTCGATGTCAAAGATGCACCACACGTCGGAAGGCCTGCCTGTCGTCGAAAATTGCGATAAAAACATGGAAATTGTGGAAACAGACCGTCACGTGAGCACTTATCTAATTGCTGAGGAACTAAAGATAAGCCAGAAAACCGCTGGGAACCATTTGCATATCCTTGGATTCAAGGAGAAGCTCGATGTTTGGGTGCCACACGAACTAACGCAAGAAAACATGATGGACCGAATTTTCATCTGCGAATCGCTGCTGATGAAAAATCGGTCACTTACGACAACATCGGGCATAAACGGTCGTGGTCAAAGCTCGGCGAAGCGGCCCAGACGGTGGCCAAGACCGGATTGACGGCCAGGAAGGTTTTGCTGTGTGTTTGGTGGTATTGGCAAGGAATCATCTACTACAAGCTGCTCCCCTATGGCAAAACGCTCAATTCGGCCCTCTACTGCCAACAAATGGGCGGCTTGAAGGCAGTACTCAACCAGAAGATCAACAGAGGCTAAATTGTGTTCCATCAAGACAACGCCAGACCACACACGTCTTTGGTGATGCGTCAGAAGCTCCAGGAACTCGGATGAGATCCTAATGCACCCACCATATTGGCTAATGCACCCACCATATAGGCCGGACCTGGCACCAAGTGATTACCATCTTTTTCAGGCCATGGCGATTAATGGTGAGAAGTTAGCCTCAAGAGAGGCCTGTGAAAGTTGGCTAATCGAGTTTTTTGCCAATGGGTATGCAGCCTTCTACGAGAGGCGCATATTTGACTTAAATCCTAGATTTGTAAACAAAGTTATCATATTATATTTTGAAAAATCAATAATAATAAAAACGAACGAACTTTTTACTTGCCCTAATATTATGTGTTTATCCGCAGTTCATATTCAAACTGTGGCTTCCGGTGCAATAATTTTGCTTCTCCTAAAAAAGATCTACAAACTTCCTATAGTTTTATGCATTCTACAATGTCATTGTACTCACTTCCATGAAATGTTCTTCTTCATATTCCAGAATTTTCCGCCGAAGAATTTCACACTGAGTATCACGCTCTATGGAATATAACCGCTCCAGTGTGTATTCCCTTATATTATCAAAAATGTAATCAAGGCAATCGGCGACGGCATCATCCAATTGAAAAATAATGGCCGCGTTTAGCATTTCATTAACATTGTCGAGAGTTATCAGTGTCTGTCCTGTATAGCAATGGGTGATCAGACGCTCGAACGTATCACTGGCTATGTTATTTATTTCGATAAAAGGTGTTACACCTTGATTGTTGCTCAAGAGATTCTCGAAATAAGCACTTGCAGCTGATAAAATCAAACGATGCGCAGGAATCCTGTATAAATGGAAAATCATACATACATATGTATGTGTTATTACATGAGACAATTCATTAATTATTAATCTTTTGTATAAATACATAGTATGTATGTATGTACTTACAAAACTGTTGAAACTTTAAACGTCACATCCACCAGTTTCTGCTCATCATAAAATTGGCGTAGTCCAATTAAAAGTTTTTCTGTAAATGTTGAACCATCCCGAACTGGGCGTGACGATGCAATGCAGGTCGCCATTTGTATTGAAATAATTTTATCAAAAAGATTTAAAGTAGAGAATCACACAGCGGCTGCAAATATAAAAGAATATAATTTGTAAAATTAGATGTATTCAAGGCGTCAAATTAGAGCATGTGTGTGTTCGGTGAGAGATGTCAGTAAGAATTAGCCAATAAAATAAGCGTTAGAATGTAATTGCGCTGTTAAATTATAGCGAGCAGAAAATATTAAAATTAACAATGACGCTGAGTTTGTGAGGTTTCAACGTTAACGATTTGATTTCGTTTTGATTACACGAAGGTGAAACGAAATGATTTCATTTCGTTGAGTTAACTTTTGTTTTTAGCGAAACGGAATGATATCATTTCGTTTGCTGAGCATTTCTGGTTTATTGTATTCGGCTTTAAAGTATTTTATCAAAATTGGCAATTATATTTGCATCTTTATATTATTAATTGCACGTGAAAATTTTTTATACAACATTTATGCAGTCTATTTCTTCTGCTTTTAAATATTTTCCTACAATTGGCAACTATTTGGCATTGTTAATTATTTATTGAACTCAAAATGTATTGCATTACCACAATGATGAAATTATACATGCTTTGTAGTCTTCCAACGATGAAGATACCAGTATGAAAGTAATCTAAACGGACGATTATTTATGTAAACCTTGTTTTGGAACAATTTGTCGCTTAGACTTTCAGAAATGAAGACAACATGAAATGAGTTTGAATTTATTTTTCCGTGTAAGCAGGCCATAATAACTCAACGTTATTATAGAGTTTCTTCGATTCTGTTAAACAAATACCAAACAAGAGCTTTATTTTCCCTTTTAAATGCCACTCATCGGGAGTGTTATAGAAACCGACTCAGAATTACATATTTATTGGAATTGAAAATCAATATCTGTTTGAAATGGTGTTATGAAACCGAATTGATTTTGCTTTTTTTCGAAGATAAGCAAAACCGATATTCGAATCAGCTCTCATAACACTTGTGTGCATTTGCATTTCAATTAAATTGTTGCACTGGTATTAACACATTTGAGATTATTAAAAATAAAATAACTTCGACAGAGATAGAATTTTCGATGATAGAAGGATATCGACGAGATATAATCAAGAAAATAAGGCGCAAAATTTTAAGGGATAAGAGCAATCCACTACAACAATTTACATTCTACTTTTACATTTGTTGATACAAAATTTGTTTGTATTTAGATTCATAGACCAATATCGTCTTAACAAAGAAGCCTTTGTAATAGTGCTGGATGTCATTGAAGACCAGTTAAATAGACTGCATATCCCACTTGAGCTCCAGTTTGCAGCCACACTGCGGCTTTTGGCAGAAGGCTCCTATTAACAGTCTGTGGGACTCAAATAAATATCTCCTTAGCGCGATCTACAGTCTCGGTAGTTAAAACATATGTGAATTGTCCACTCTGGATAATTTTAGGAACCTACGACAATGGAAAACGGAGAGCTCGCGACAATTTTAACACCATATACAGTGTTCCAGGCGTTTCTGGTTGTAAAATCCATTGTTCATGACTTAAATTTTTATTAAATTTTCGCTTGCATTTAAACCAATAAATCGGTTTCTGTAACACCTAAAATCGACACAATTTATGTTTCGAAAATGAAACCGGTTTCAATTCTGATTCCGACAACAATCTGTTTCTGTAACACCTCTTTATAGTTCATTTTGTGCCTCGTCCTCGCTTTCTACTCGGGTAAATTAAACTCGAAAGCATAAACACTTTTTCACCACGAGTTAAGAAGGCGTCTACTAGAGTAGGTTATATAATTTACTCTACATACTTACAGTGGCTCACAGTGAAAATGGTCCACCTGCAACCAAGTCTGGGAAATTAAAATGGATAGCAAAAATATTAGTAAATGTTTTTTAAATAAACATTTAACAAAATAGGTGTAAAGTTCACGTCACTGTGAAGATGGTCCACCCTGTCTATGCTGCGATATATTATATAACGGAACTTTTTCAGAATCTTCAGTTATTTTGATGCGGTTACTTCAGCCAACATTCTTGCCCTGAAACAAGCACGTGTTTTACTTATTTGTTGATTGTTTAATTTTTAATTTCATGATGGGCCGCCATGCTACGATTGAGATGCGAAATTCGATTATTGGGCATTATAAAAAGAGAACATCTCAAAGAGAAATCGCGAAAATCGTTTAAAAAAAAAGTTTGGACGTCAGTTGAAAATATCATTCACCGTGGATTATCAAACCGAGCAAGATTGATCCCCCGGCTGAGCGCACCAAAACTACGTGACATGGTAGAAAATCAATTCAAAATAAATTGAAAAGATGGATTAAATGGTAGGATTGTACGAAAGGAACCCTTTGTTAGTAAGAAGAATAAAAGCCTGGGATTGCAATTTGCTCACAACTACATTGGGAAAGAATTTTCGTTCTGGAAAGACGTGATACTCACAGATGAAAGCAAATATATATATTATAATATTTTTGGATCGGATGACAGAATGAATGCTTGGAAAAAAAACCAGCCAGGAGATGGATCCTAGATATCCGCGCCCAACAGTTAAACACGGTGGTAGCCACGTCATGGTCTGGGGTGCTTGTTCGACTGTTGGTGCTGGTAAATTGCACTTTGGGGAAGGGATGATTATGGACAAATATCAATATCTAAATATATTGAAAAATAACCTTGTACAAAGTGCAGAAAAACTTGGTATAGAAGACACATATAATTTTTAGACAACGATGCCAAACACACGGTGAGAATAGTAAAAGAATGGCTGCTGTATCATTGCCCCAGAATATGTAAGTCCGCTAGATGACGTTAAAGAGATGATATTTCGTACTAAAAAAGCTTTTCTAACGGTTTTGTGATGGGTTTATTCAGTTTTGTGCCAGCGTGACTCAAAGAGAGACAATGGCAAAGTGAAAATACGTTATATTTTACAGTTTGTTTTCGATAAGGTCGAAAATGCAAACCAGACGACTGGAAATGTGATTAGCCTTTTGTGTCCTGGTATTGTTACAGTCAATCATGCACAATTTCGCTAATTTTGAAGTAAAAGATGGTTCACGGAGTGGAGGGCCAAACAGTTTGGAACCATTTGAATAAGGCTGGATTTTTCCGTAGTTATTTCGACGCTTAACAGACGTTTCCCAATCATTACTCAGCATATTCCGTACGTTATGCGGATGCCGCCTTTCGTGTCGGTTGGGAGGGTGGAGGTTATTCGTTGGGCTTATTATTATTATATAACCATTTGAATTAAGCTGGATTTGAAAAGTAAAAAATTAAATTTGATGCAAAAATTACGTATTCCAAATTTTTAAAATGGTTATACATACATATACATATATATTTAATTTGATAAACATATGTATATGTATGTGTTCATATATATACAACGTAAAATTATTAAACAAAAAGAGGCAATTAAAAAAAAAATGGTTGACATATTTTATTTAAATTGGCAATAAAAAAAAAATACTTAAGAATACTGTGCAAGGCGAAGTTATACATCAAATTAAAGGTAATTTAGTACTCTTTTTAATTAGATTACTTGCTGACTCGGCATGTTTATATATGTATATACATACATAAATGGAACAATAGTTGTATGCTGATGTTGCTAAAATTTCAATTTTTTTTTTTAATTTTTTTAAAAATTTATTGCCATACAAAGAATATAATTTTTATTTGAATTTACTTTAAATAAATTTAAAATTTTTCAAATAACTATTTCACTTGCGGAACTCTTCCGATTGTACACACACACATATGTATGTATGTATTGTTATAAACATGTATATAAATTGGTTTTGATTTCTTACCAAAGCAGACTTCACACTTCAAATAAATATAAAAATTGTATGTGTACATACATACATACATACATACATACATACATACATACATACATACATACATACATACATACATACATACATACATACATACATACATACATACATATATACATATCTACATTTGCATGTATGAATATGAAGGCCAAGCAATATGAAAGAAATACACTTTTACACTAACAAACATCCAAAGCACAAAATTATTTAAATAAGTAAAATAATAATAAATATGATTTTATAAACATTTCTTAAAGATTCGTATTCGCTTCTCACACCAAAGAGCTTCAGTAACGTAGTTAAAATAGAGCCATCAGCTTTGAATATAGTATGTATGTACATCCATACAAGTATATACATACATATATACTTACGTATGTACATGCACATACAATAGGTATGTATGCATGTTCATATTTTAAATTTGTTTGGTAAAAAGCTCTTAACAGTCAGATTCCACTCACCCACACTAAAATGTGTATGCAAACAATAATTAGATTCGAGAATTAATTGAGACGATTTTATTTTTTTTATTTATGAAGATTAGAGTAATTATACTCAATACTATACTTTACTGTGTTATATAGAGAAAACGAAGTAAAAATGTATGAACTTAAGCTCGTATATCACCAGGAGAGATGTCGATCAAACGGAGTTTAAAAACTGACTGTTTTCTCATTGCCAAGAACCTTTATTTATATTTTTACAAATCGTATTCTTTAACTGACACTTTCTAATCTACATATGTATGTACATATATACATTCTTTCCCAGTAGCAAATTGCCCCGCGGTGAACTTAATAATATGAAGTATTAATCCATAACGCGTGGTCGCTGCGGCCGAGGCTAGCATCGCTTTCATATTCGATAACTTTTTCCCAGAATGACAACATGTCGAAACTAAATAAATCATGCATTATTTAAAGGTAATGCAAAACTTTGGTTTCGCTCTGAAAGCTTATGCGTTTTGGTATTCTTTTGGTCGGTTGCGCCGCAACAGTGAGGTTGGATAAAAAAAGTGACTTTAAAATTTTTAATTAAATAATTATGAATAATATACGAATCGTGGTTTATTAAATCATATAAACAAGTCAGACTCAGTTGTTGGGAACGAAGTTCCCAGGTGACAGTTGCAGCAGTTTTATGCAAAGCTCGAACCATATCAATGAAAGATTAGTTAAAAGTTTATCACAGTGGGGAATGGAGAAGTTGCTTCAGGTTTTGCGAAAATGAGATATCGACGTTCTAGTATCTTCGGAATTCACTGATAAAATACTTGCACGTATGATACAATAAAATAAGTAAAATAAATAAAATAAGTATGCATTTTTAATTTCAATGTTTTATTTAAGTTGGCTTAGTTTAGTAGCAAAAGGAAATGTAAGTTGCACACATTACTACTTCCATGATAATATACCATGAAACATCAAGCCCTACACATTTACCTCTTCTCTGAGGTAGCACGCTGCACACATTACCATTTCGCTAGCAATTTACAAGTGAGTGACAAACGAACACTTGTTCTACAAAATCTAATGAAGCGCTAAGTTGCCTTGAGGTACTCGACGTTAAAAAATGGCAGTGAAGTGGGATGAATTAATTTTAACATAAGCCCTGCGTAATCGATGCAGGCAGTTACCGCATACTGTAAGTGTAACTTCTAATTCATTGGGAAGGCATTGCCATTTGCTGCTGGGTATTTGCTGATCTAAGCAGGCATCTCTAAGAAAATACAAACTTATATACAGTTTGTCAATTATGGTTGCAAAATGAAAAAAATCAAACAAATGCATTTTTCAACTTGATTTTTATTAACTAAAACAATTTTCTTTGACTTTTTTTTAATAATATTAGTCTGAGTAATCTTAGCATAAATAATGCACACAAATTCCAGAATTCAAGACATAAAAGTAAAAGAGATATAAAAATTCAAAAGTCAGCAAATATTATGGTGTCAATTAATTGTTTGCCCTTTGTAAACAATTATTGCAAATATAATCAATACTGAGAAAGTATATCAGTATTGGTACTAATATTTGGTATTATGGCCACTTGCATATATGACAGCTCGACAAGTGTACAGGCTTATTCTCGGTACAGATTTTACAGGGTTTTCGTCCCACCGAGTGCGATTTAGTAAGATTCAGTAACAATTGTTACTGCTGATCAGGTCACCGAACATAATTAATGTTTATGCACACATCTGCATGAGCAAACAGAATTTAAAGAGCTAAGCAGAGAGAGAGTAGCGGTTTCTAAGGAAAATATTATGTTTTTCAGATCACTTTACGGTTGTCCTCCTATATACACGATGGTGCAAACATACATATATACACAGTGTGTCCCAAAAATAACCGAATTTTGGGTAATAAAATTAAATACACATTATATTATCTTTGAAAGGTATTATTTATTCAAAATAGGTTCCATTTGACTCAACACAACGTTTGGAACGATCAACCAGCGCATGCATAGATTTATTTATGTCATTTATAGAAATGTTCTTCAGTACCTCGGTTACGGCTGCTTGAATGGCTGGGATATCATCATAAAATGCTGCCTTCATCTTAGTTTTCAGTTTTGGAAATAAAAAATGTTCACATGGTGATAGATCAGTCGAATACGGAGGATGGTCGATGAGAGAAATACCTTTTTTCTTAAAAAAGTCTAGCGATTTTTTGGTCGTCATTTAATTCATGTCGAACAAATCGCGCACAGACCTTTTTTTCCTCAGGCCTTCAGTTAAAAATATCCAAATAGTGTTTTTACTCGTATTCAATTCCTCAGCCAACATTCTCGTAGTAAAATTTGCATCGATACCAATGATTTCACGTCCTTTTCCCACCAGTTCAGCACGATTGCTAGTTTCTGGACGTCCTGCCCTAGGGTAGTCATTTAAATCCTCACGACCATTTTTAAATCGTGTAAACCGCGTATAAACTTATGTACGACTCGTACAATCATCACAATAAACTTTTTTCATTAATTTTTTTTCAAGTTTGACACAAAATTTTATATTTGCTCTTTGCTCCATTTTATTTTTGAACCATTAGCACACTTTTGGTTTTATTGAAATGGCTGTCACTTTTACATCTGTCATCCGACTTACATGATGTTAGGTGCGTTTGAAAGAGGATGAATGTATCTTTTTAATGTTGCAAATTTTCAATAGATGGCGCTGTATGTTGTATGATTTAAATATAAGGTTCGGTTATTTTTAGGACACACCGTTTATGTGCTTGTTTATATTTCTGGATTTTTAAAAAGGGGGAATACCTAATACCCACACCACTCTAGACTTCCATGTAGCGTTGTATATACATATGTATCATATTTCGGCTCTCAATTCTCTCGAAATAACTATATGCTATGCACCCTGCAACGCTTCGCTGTCGCATATACTCATTGAATGTATGAAGAAGTAATAATATTATATGATATCTGTTTATCATGACTTTATTTACTCCATACTTAGGGAGAACAAAATTTTTGGTTTTCATTCCATTCACATTGCTCTACTTCCCGGTGAGAATTTTAGGCTTCCTTTTTTGCTTAGAAAAAGACACCTAGGTACCGAATTTTTCTAATTGCGTTGACTCCTTGGCAGGTAATGTCAACTCCTCCGAGTGTATTTCTGACATGAAATAAAAGCTCTCCATAAAAAACCATCAGCTGTTCGGAGGCGGCTTAGTATAAACTGACAGTCCTTCCATTTGTTCGAAAAACATCAAGGCGCAAAAACCACAAATTGGAGGAGGAGCTCGGCGGAAAATCGCTTCAGCGGTTACAAAGCGCCAATTATATAGATATACATATATTTATTGGTAACAAAATATTTATTTATTTTTATATGATAATTATTAGTTCCAAAACTAGTCTCATGTATGTGGTCCAGGACTATTCAGATGTTATGCAGAAAGGGCGTATATGGTCTAGAACTAGGACATCGCAATATTGATTGGTCCATGTTATGTGGATAGTGGTTAGTTTTGGAGAGCCATATTTTTTCATACATACATATTTATGTAAATGTGTACGTACAGTGGATCAATAAAGAACTCGGACATACATTCCACTGTTATTAACATGCAACTTCAAGCTAGGTTTTTTTAACCAATTGATATTAAGCATTTTTGTTTTTTATGTTTCTATTGGGTATCCAATAAGGATTTGAAAAATACCGATAACAAACAAATTAATCAGTTTATAGGTCTCCAATACCCTTACTTCAAAAAATATACATGTGGCATGCTAAAATTTCACCATCTGGTAATAATACAGTTGGCATTTTAAAAAGGGGAATCCCACAATTTGTTTATTTTCGTTTAAAAATACGTATAAACCATTCGGGAAATCGCAGAAATTGCTCTTAAAGTTTTGCAACATCTCGATATAAATTGTATACCGGAGAGTATCCGAATAGTCTTACGAAAAAATAATTATAATGGAAGAGTAGCACGGAAGAAACCATTTATAAACGAGGTTAACCGAAACAAAAGGATAAAATTTGCAAAATGGCATGGGGATAAGGATTTTCAATTCTGGAAACAAGTTTTATTTGCAGATGAAAGCAAAATTAATATATTAAGGTGAGATAGACAATCGTATGTTTGGAGAAAACCGAATGAAGAGTTGCTAGAAAAGAACTTACGTCCGACTGTTAAAAACGGGGGCGGCTCAGTAATGGTATGGGGTTGTTTGTCCGCAGCTGGTACTGGAAATTTGTGTTTCATAAATGGTAATATGGACTACAAGCAATATCTGAACATTTTAAACGAAAATTTAGTGCAAAGTGCGGAAAAGTTGGGAATTAAAGACAATTTCCAGTACTACGAAGACAACGATCCCAAGCATAAAGCACATGATGTCCGTCTATGGCTGATGTATAACTGTCCTAAAGTGCTTGAAACAACACCTCAATCGAACGACATTTACGTAATTGAACATCTGTGGGCTAATTTGTGGATTAATTTGCTTGTTATTGGTATTTTTTAAATCCTTATTGGATACCCTATAGAAACATAAAAACAAAAATGCTCAATATCAATTGGTTAAAAAAAAATCTAGCTTGAAGTTGCATGTTAATAACAGTGGAATGTATGTCCGAGTTCTTTATTTAGCCACTGTATATGTTAAACAGAAAGCCCTCGATTTGCATTTTATTATATTTTATTTTATTACATATAATATTTATTATTTTCATTTTTGAGCCACTGTATGTATAGTGCGAACTTATTTGGCGAACGATAGGGAGAGCAAGTGTGATAGTGTACCAAGGTTTTTTTTGTACCAAATATGTATGTATATGAAAACTTTTATTAATAAACATAAAAAATCTTCACGTTTCCTATTACTGAATATAAATTTGTTAATCTTTCGACATGTTTTTATGGTTTCAAAGTAATCCTGGGGGACATACTATATTAAATTATTTTTGCTCAAAGCCATTTCAATCAAACTTCATTATCGTGAAAATTATGACAATCTACATAGGTTGGAAACGTACATGTTACGTTTGAAATAGGCCCTTTTTAAGTCGAATGAAAAGTGAAATACATGCATACATAAACGTTTGTATTAGTCTTTAACCCATGCCATAGGAGGCACATGACGTTGCGCAGATGCCAATCGCTTACCCAGGGAGCATGGACG